GGCCCATCGCCAGGTGCCGCGGCAGCGTTTGGCCTAAGCAGCTGATACTATCCCAAGCACATCGTTATGATAAAAGAAACAGCAAAATATGCTTCACTGGACTCTGATTCAGTGATTTTGCTCATATTTCACGAGAATTGCATTTGAACAGAGTACATTAAGTGACGTAAATAGTTTATGGGTCGCAACATATAGCCCTCTGTATAAGGGTTTACAAAGTAAGCCAGCAATTTAGTGTCATCTGTCGGAGCGAAATTGACGAGGCTTGACACGCACAACAACGCGTCGGGAGCGACGTTGTAAGAAGCGTACGAAGTGGTGTGGATTTGCGGTGGCGCTGGGTAGTGGCGGCGGAGCAATGAGGTGTCGTTGAGCAGGCCGGTCCCAATCCAACTGGATCACTGAAGATAAGAATAAAACAAAGAAATCAGACCATACTAGCGTAGGTAATACATGACTGAGGTGCCTCAGTTGGGCCTGGAGTGGCGTATGTTTGCACTGGTGCCTGGGGTGTATCGCTGACTGTTGTAAAGGATAGGCAGGTCTAGACGGCTCCCGGTGTGGCTGTAGAACGAATGGTTGAATGTAAGTGGAAGTCACATAATAGTTGGCTTGACTTAACTGTGCTTCTCACTTGGTATAAAACCACACAAGGTATATTGTCACACCCTTACCATGCCAGGTGTGCATGTCATAGCTGCCAAGCGTAACATGACCGAAGTTTGATGATATCTGTAGTCACTGGTGTTCTGCTTTGGTGATCATATTCAAGATGAGCACTTCCTTTTGATTTGTGGTTTTCCCTTTATGAAGATGGGATATGGCATGAACTTAAACTGATGGAATGGAATGAGGGCATTAAGTGACTTTGAAGTGGGATTTCGGCTTGTATACATATGATAGCATGTCTTCTGTACAATAAAAACCTGTGTTGTTTACAAAATGGGATGTGAAGACCAAATTGACCCATTTAACTTGATATAGTGAATGGAGTGTACCTAGCATGCCACTTAACACAGCAAATAGAATATGTTGCACACCTGTTTGATCAACTTGTGTTTGTACAGCCAAGATAGATATTCATCTTTGGTTTGCACATCCGAAGCAGACACACCGTTGTTGATTTCTAGCCATAGATTATGTAGTCTGAATGCCAGTGGGCCTCATGGGCATCCACATTTGTTTTCAGTCTTTTACCACAAGTGCAAAACAAAAATGGCTTCATCATCTAATATGAGCTCTGACATCAGTAGAGAAATCCACAAGATGATTATGAAATAATTCAGCGTATTGGAAGCGGAACATATGGGGACGTGTACAAGGTGGGTATTGGTTTGCTTTTAAATCATATGTTTATTTCAAAAAGCCTGGCTCATTGAATAGCTTCATGATGCAGTGTTTTTCAAGGCAAGTCCTGTTATTATTGCAGTACCTAGTGTCATGGCAGCCATTCAAATCTAGGTGATAGAAAAACCCAGATGATATAAAGAATACACTCATGGCTGAATCATATGCTTTGATTGGTACTCTAAGGGTGAAATTTTATATAATTAGCTTACATATCATCACCCTTACTGATGCATGTTTGTGTCTTTGTTATTTATGGGCTTTTGTGTTCATTGGTGTTTTTGCATATTATCACCTACTCAGGGTGCTTTTTGTCAGCAGCTACAGTTGATGGATTGCTGTCAGTGATAACATATTTTTCAGGCTACACGACTTTCCACAAATGAAGCAGCAGCTATCAAAGTTATCAAGCTCCAGCCAGGTAAGTAACATAAGGAGTTACATAAAATAAGCAAATCTGCATATATTGCTTTCTTCTAGTATTCTGATTGGCCCTTATGGTAGTTACCCTCATAAGCCCATATTCATCAAAAGTGAGAAAAGGAATTGGTTTTGGCAAATCTGATGTTAGCTTAATTATTTTGCATTTGATTATGGCTTCTATCTAACTTTCACTGTGATTTGTTTATTTGCTCCACACATGCCCACCAGTGTGTGTGGTTGGTGACAAATTGTGAGGAGTCCTCCAGCCAAATGGGTTTTTAACTCAGTTTTTTTTTGAATGTCCACACATACAATTCCTCAACAGCCAGTCTGAGAAAACCACCACTCTTTCATGCATACATGACTGGCCATTGATCACTGAGTGGCTGAGCACTGCTGGGCCTGGGGACACTGGCACAGGGGAACAGTCACCTGAGATGCACCCTCGTGGCCTCTGACTGGCGTGCCCGCTGGCGCCCTGCCACCGCGCTCCGAGCCGTCCGTTTCTGACCAGTTCGCGTGTTCCCCGTGTAAGAGACTTGGACGAGACTGTCGTGGGGCGAGGCAGGATCGCCTTCACGGCCCGGTAAGCCGCATGCGCTGGACGCTTCGTCGTGCCCCGGACCTCCACTTCAGCCGTGTCTGTGATCGTCCTGTTACGACTTCCGGCCAGTTCCTCTCATCCTTGTGGGCAGTCCGTTTGTCCGACTTCTGACCAGTGTTATCTGCCATTCTAGCCTCACTGCCTCGATCCTCCCTGCATGACACCGATCTTTGTCTTCGGCCCGTCGCCCGCGTCCTCCATGCTCAGCGCATGGCTGTCTGTCATCCGCCCTCATGGGGCGTCCACATGGTGCTCATCCGCTCACATGGGGCGTCCACATGGCGCTCATCCGCTCACATGGGGCGTCCATATGGCGCTCATCCGCTCACATGGGGCGTCCATATGGCACCCATCCGCTGATATGCGGCGCCCTCTCTGTCTTCCCATCCTACTCATTTCCCTGTGTCTCATCTCCTGCGTGGTCTGGCAAGCCACTCGGTGTGTGGATTCCTCGTTTATCACCTGAGTCAGCTTGCTCTGTCCTTGTTTCCGGAGTTCGTCAGCTCCTTACATTTGTTGTGCCATTCCTCCTCCTTCAGACAGATTGTGTTGCATTTGCTAAGTCTGACTCGCTGGCCGCCACCGTTCCATGCCCTCGCGAACCTCCAGAACCCATCGGCGGTGTACACGCTTGTTCACTCTTCCTGGTGGTCCATCGTCAGCAGACAGCGCGATTTAGCCTAGCATAGTGTAGCGTTTTCTCGTGTCTGACTAACCAAGATCGGCGCGCACGGCATCTCACCGTACGCCAGATGCGCCTCTTAGAACGGGCGTAGTCATGCGGTGTTTTGTCCTTAGTTTTGCTGGCCTTTTGGCCAGGCTTAAGAGGCTCGGCTGCTCAGCTGCGGCTAGACACTGCCAGCGTGAGCTTCTGAATGCATGCCAGTGAGACGGCTCAGACAAGACGTGTGCAGAGGGGGCGGAGCGTACACTGATCAGCTCAGCCAGTTACCGATTGCTGCTGCGCGCGCACCTGGAGAGAGGCTACGCTGTCGGGGTGCATATTTTCGATGGAATATTCGACTACCTCCATGCGATGGTGGTCATGGCTTGTGTAGTGATTGAGAGGCTAGGAAGCTGCGTTGCTGCTCACGCATATTGTATCCAGTTGTGTGAGAACATCACTTCACGGTGTTCAATGGTTTCGCATACAATGTGCAGTTGTCCAGTAGCTTTAATTTAATTCACGAGGACCCGCAGCTCCAAAGCGGCCTTAAATTGGCCAAAGGCCGATAACGATGGAGTCCCCCGTACTTCTCCCGGGCTGACAATAACCAACGCCAGCCGAGGGCGTTGTCGGGACCCGTCCGGCGCCGTGCTCGCGGCTGGGACGGCTGTGACGGCGGCAGCGTCGGAGGCCCGCGGGTGCGGACGGACGGACGCGCGTCGGACGCCGCCCGCTCGTGCCCGCCGCCGCCGCGTGGCGACGGCTCTAGAGCAGGCCGCGGCCAGACCGCGACCTGTCAGCTGTCACTCACAGCTGCCGACCAGCGTCGGCATGCCGGCGGCGACGCGAGGTCCAGCGCAGCGGGCGCTGACGCTGGCGGGCGGCGCGACAGGTGGACACGCTCTGTTTCCTCTCTCCGGGATTGCGTCGTTGATTGGTTGGGCCACGAAGTGGAGATGGGCCCGGCGAACATTGGGCCGAAATACGTGTGTTTTCGTCGAGCAGAATATTGTGTCGGGGCATCGAAGCGGTGGTGTGTTTGCAAACCGGCGGCTCCGGCCGACCGTCCCGTCGGGCGGCTGGCCTGAAACGGTCAGCGGACCGCGGTCTGATGTACTCATAGGGCCAGTGAGACGCCCTGTCTCCTGGCTTGTTCTCATGTTTGCAGGGGTGTGGTTTTGCTATATCAGTTGTGGGGATGGGACTGAGCAGAACTAGTCGCTAAGTATACCCATTAATACATTGCAAGCATGTTTTACTCGGTTTTGAACCACTTTTCGCCCCAAGTTTTGAGGTGGGGTGGACGACCCCACATCTGAACAGGAACCCCGGATGTTGGCCTGACCCATCCCACGCCGGTGTGCTGGCGTCATTTGTGCCCTGCTGGGATACGTTCGGCGACTGTGAGCCCGGCCGACCTCGGACCGGTAGTTGACGAGGGGGCGCGTGCGGCACCGCTCAGCTTAGATACCGCGGCGAAGAAGGCCGTGCGCTGCTCTTCTGGTGGCGGTCCGTCTGTGGGCTTCTCCGTCGCCGTGTACGCGATATGTCGGCACGGTCGCCGTTGTAGGTGTACGGGAGTGGACGCGGCGCCGGCATGCGCCACAGGGTCGGGTCCCGCAGGGCCGGGTGGTCGTGCTGTGCCTTCTCGCCATGTGATGCCGAACGCTTCCACCGCTCGCCGGGGCCGGTTTGTCGCCGGGCCGAAGTCTCTAAACATTTCCTGTGACCTTTAGTTTGGTCTTGACCAGTTTGCCGCACGGAGCTGCCTGATTTTATTATGTGGATATCCGATTGCGCGTCGTATAATGTCGTGGGTCCTCACGCCCGGTGTCAGCTGTTTCTGTCTAAGACTGATCGGTCTCGCAGGGGACGACTTCAGCATAATCCAGCAGGAGATACTGATGATGAAGGATTGCCGGCATACTAACATCGTCGCCTACTTCGGCTCCTACCTGCGACGCGACAAGCTGTGGATCTGTATGGAGTATTGCGGGGGCGGCTCGCTGCAAGATATCTATCATAGTAAGTATTTTTTGGTACTGCTTATGCTATCTCCCTTTTCAAGTGTATCTTTACCGTCATCGATTCTCGGTTCAGCTGTTCTCCCGTGCTATTTATTGTGCTTTATACGCTTATACGTTTTATACGCTACGATTTATTAGCCTTGCCGCATCACCGCTTCTTTCCCGTGGGCGCCAAATGACCACCGCAGTCGACGCGCCCGTAAACTACAATTAACAACATCAACAACTCTTCTCTCCGTGTTACTTTCCTGCTGGTACTAGTTCGCACATCAGAGGATGATGCGATGTTACGAAATGAGTGAGTGTCTTACAAGTCTCTAATTACTCCTATTTCTATCCTCGGTGCTCGTGAAAACCACGAGCCTAGCGCCGTAGCCGGCTGCAGGTGTCTGAGACGTGTCGAGGGCCGTGACCAGCGGCCACGGGTGTCTGGGACGTGTCGAGGACCTTGACCAGCGGTCGCGGGTGTCTGGGGCGTGTCGATGGCCTTGGCCAGCGGCCGCGGGTGTCTGGGGCGTGTCGAGGACCTTGACCAGCGGCCGCGGGTGTCTTGGGCGTGTCGAGGACCTTGACCAGCGGCCGCGGGTGTCTGGTGCGTGTCGAGGGCCTTGACCAGCGGTCGTGGGTGTCTGAGACGTGTCGAGGGCCGTGACCAGCGGTCGCGGGTGTCTGGAGCGTGTCGGGGGCCTTGACCAGCGGCCGCGTCTGTTGCAGTCACGGGTCCGCTGACGGAGCCACAGATCGCGTGCGTGTGTCGAGAGACACTGCGCGGCCTCTCCTACCTCCACACCATGGGCAAGATGCACAGGGACGTCAAGGTAAACGGTCCGGGCAGGCGGGCGTTCGGTCCAGGCGCTAGACCCTGACCCTTGTGTGGAAAGAAGGCCGGGATGCGTGTGGTGCGTGATTGGACGGCTGTTCTGCCTTGGCCCGTGCTGCAACGAGGTGTTTGGCTCACCACATAGTGGTCTAGCAGCCCTTGAATTGGCTGACAGACATACGGCCATTGCCTGCCAGCCTGGAGATGCTGATGATTCGCGGCGAACAGGGGACATATCCACGGTTACTCAAGATATGGGAATATTGATCACAGTTGGTGATGACGGCGTCCGCATATTTCTTTATTTTTTGTGTTTTTAGAAACGCACATGCAACAGTTGATGGACGTGCTAAATGCTTATAATGCTTTTATGAGCATAATACTATATGACTATTAGTTATGTAAATGGTACATCACAAGGGGAGTACAAAAAATAAGTGCTCATGCTTGTATGGTGTTATGAGTACTTGTGCGCTAGTAAGCAAGCAGGGTCGAATGGCAGACAGTGGACATACCCATATTTTGCTGCCATCTTCGTGAGCATGCCAATCAGCTTTCACGTATGGCTATGGTCAACAGGCAACATTTCGACGTACTAAAGCTCAAATTATTTGTCTTATGACATGGATGATAGATCGATAAAAGGGGAAAACAGCGAGGCGCGGCGCTCCCGTATCGAGCAGTTATGACTTCACTCTTGTGAGCCCTGCGGTGGCGACTCTCGCGCGAAAAAGGTTCTCTTAATATTGAGTCAGCGCAACCATAACCCCCAACCCGTCATTCTGTGGACGCTTTGCTTTTGCCGAGCATTGCAAAACAGTCCCTTGCCATCGGCATTTGCGGGCCAGTTGCCGAGGGTGCCGCGGTGCCGCGGTGCACCGATGTCGGCCGGCCTGCGCGGCGCCGGGCGGACAGTGACGGGCCGTGCGGCCGCCGCCAGGGCGCCAACATCCTGCTGACGGAGAGCGGCGGCGTGAAGCTGGCCGACTTCGGCGTCTCGGCTCAGATCACGGCCACCATCGGCAAGCGGCAGTCGTTCATCGGCACCCCGTACTGGATGGCGCCAGAGGTGAGGCGGCGGCGGCGGCGGCGGCGGGCGCCCGCCGCGGCCCTGCTCGTCGGGGGTGCTGAGTGACTCGCGCGAGCGGTGGTGGGTGAGCAGGGCAGCATAGGGGAGGTTGTTCCTTGCACAGTGAACTGGCTCCAGGTCGATGGATTAGGTTGCAGTAGTTCGTAGACATGGCGTCATCCGCATGCTTGCGTCTTGTGCGATGTCTGTAGTTTGAGCGTATATATCTTGCTGCTCCTCAGGAAGTAGACCGTGGTCACTTGAAATGAGTTGGGCCTACTAACATGCTTTCAAATGCTATGGTACTTAGAACGGGCATAGCATTCAAGTTCCAAAAAGTGGTTGTTAAAACGCGTCACATAATGAACACCAGAGATGTTGTCGCCTTTGCGCTGTCTCCCGTCGCAACAGTATGAACTAAAACGCTGTCATAATTGAGCTAACCTAGGAGTATTCTCCTCCCATTTGGCTGTTGTGTTAGAAGCATCACAGCATACAAATATAATTTTTGTTAATAATTTGATATATACCAAATGATTATGTGAATACGCCTCAACTTCCTACTTGTTTAACCCGGCACGGTTCTCGGTTCGTCCAATGCTTGAAAATTCTGTGCGGATTTTAATTAACTGCAGGTGCATCAGCTGCAAGATTTCCAAAAAGGCCATGTGCGTCACCGGCTCCTCCACATCGGTGGTGTAGCTCCATCAGTTCTGCCCTCCCCCCCCCCCCCCCCAGCGCTTCCGCCGCGGCAGCAGCGCTGGTCCGCCGGCTGTGTGATCGAGGTTCGAGGGCGGCTCTGTCGACGCGGACGGGCGTCAGTGGCGGTCTTTGTCATGTGGCGCAGTGCACGGTCGCGTGGGTGTGAAACAATGTCGATGCTGCGCACGAGCCGTCGAGCAGCTGAAGGGAGTGACTAACTGCGGCTGACAAAGGAGGACGAGCCGCCGTGCGGCCCCGCGATCGCCGCTGTGAGTCACGGTCGGTCATGGTGTCCTCTGGCTGACTGGGCACGGACCTCAGCTTCGTCCCCCCGCCGGCAGGTGGCAGCAGTGGAGCGCAAGGGCGGCTACAACCAGCAGTGTGACGTGTGGGCGGTGGGCATCACGGCCATCGAGCTGGCTGAGCTGCAGCCGCCCATGTTCGACCTGCATCCGATGCGTGCTCTCTTCCTCATGTCTAAGTCAGGCTTCAAGCCACCCACGCTCAAGGACAAGAACAAGTGGTCACAGACGTTCCACAACTTCGTCAAGGTTGCGCTCACCAAGAACCCCAAGAAGCGACCAACAGCAGACCGTTTGTCGCAGGTTTGTATGAAACTGACTGCGTTCCTTGCGCTGTAGGTTTGAGGCTATGTGAGCATGGCAATCTGTTTTCACTTTTGGCTTTGCGAGCAGGTGACATTTCGACGCGGTGAAGCTCAAACTATTCGTCTTATTACCCTGATAGATAAAAAGAAGAAGCAGTAAGGTGTGGCGTATCCGAGGAGACGTGCGTGCAGCGTGCAGTCCAGTCAGCCGTCAATCCACGCCCTCACCTCCAGCCCCCCCCCCTCCCCCCATCCCCTACCAGTGCTGTCATCTCCCCGCCGTTCCCGTCACCGGCGCCTTCGAGCGCCGCCGCCAGCAGTGGCGCCATCTCCCGGCTGGGGGTGCCGACGGACCGCGCTCGTCCAGCCGTGTTTACGTGGCTCTGTAAACAGCGGCGGCCGCGGCGCGCCAGGGGCAGTGGGGCGCGGCCGTCCCGGCGGCGCGGCCCGCCCGCCACCTGCGCGGCTCGGCCGGCGGCCACGCTCCCACCCCTCTCTGTGTGTGAAGTGGGCGGTGGTGCGTCGGGTGAGCGGTACCCTCGGCGGACCGGTCCGCACTGTGCCTGTGCGCTCGCTGCCTCCCGATCCCCCTTCTAATGCGCGCCTCACCTTGTACGCGTTTCCGATGTCTTGGGGCTTACCATGCGGCATACTGTCAGCGCGTCGGGCTGCTCAGCTGGTTCACCCATGTGCAGTTGGGGCGCATACTGCAGTTGTGGTGGGACGGTCCCCTGTGTGGGTGAATGTGTCCCTGCCAGGCCCCGTGCTGCGCCCCCACTGCACTGTCCTGCCCGTGAAGCGGTGGCTGACGGGCTCGCCGAGCACCCCCGTCGCCGTCTGCGCCGGCCCGCTCTGACCGCCTCCCTGCCGGTGGCCAGCACGCGTTCGTGCAGGGCGAACCGGGACCGGGTGAGCGCCGGTTGATGCGGGAGCTGCTGGACAAGGTGCGCAACCCGAGCGGCACCTTCCAGGAGCCGGAGCCCGATGAGGAGGGGGTGAGTGGCGACTCGGGCGGCCGCGCCGCTGGGGAGGCATAGACTGGGACGCCGCCGGGGAGGGACAGACGTAGATGTCGTGGGAGGGAAAGGAGGGGACGCCGCTGGGAAGGCATAGACAGGGATGCTGCCGAGGGGAATTGATGGAGACGCCGCTGGTGGGACGGGGGGGGGGGGGCAGACGGAGACGCCGCTCGGGAGACATAGACGGAGACGCCCGCGGAATGGACAGACGGGGCGCCGCCGGGGAGGGACAGACGGATACGTCGCTGGGGAGGGACAGACGGATACGTCGCTGGGGAGGGACAGACGGAGACGTCGCCGGGGAGGGACAGACGGAGACGTCGCCGGGGAAGGACAGACGGATACGTCGCTGGGGAGGGACAAACGGATACGTCGCTGGGGAGGGACAGACGGATACGTCGCTGGGGAGGGACAGACGGAGACGTCGCTGGGGAGGGACAGACGGAGACGTCGCCGGGGAGGGACAGACGGGGCGCTGCCGAGAAGGACAGACGGAGACGTCGCCGGCAGGAGACAGACGGAGACGCCGCCGGCAGGGGACAGACGGGCGCGGCTGGCGGGCGCCTCAGCCGCAGACCGCGCCGGGACCGATGGGCTCCGGTGTCAGCTGGCGGCTGCGGACGGCAGGAGATCTTTGGCGCGGCGTGCGATGCGATCGTGGGGTGTCGCAGCAGCCAGTATGAGCTGGCGGCCGTGTTATGTGGGGCTCTCGAGTTGACGTTACCAGAGGCTGACTAGAAACATTTTCGCGCGCCGTGTTTACCTGATGCAGCGTCGGCAGCAGCTGCTTTGTGGTTTCCGCCGCGCGCTACCGCTGACTGCTGGTTGCAGGCGGTGAACAACGTCCCACACAGGATAGCGTCGCGGCAGCCGGCTACCAAGCAACGCACGGAGTCGGAGCTGCACAGTGAGTGGTCGCCGCCGCCCGGTCCCACTGAGTGACGCTCGTGTCCTGAGCGCTGCAGAAACTCTTCAGTGGTGTAACATCGTTTAAGCACGTGGAAATTACACTTGGTGTAATATGTTGCGGTCAGTTCGTTTTCATTTGTCATTGCATTCTCCGTGCATCGCAATGCTAGTCAGCGCCGTGGGCATTCATTACGATGGTGTAATTTGCATCGCTGGACCTACGCCGTAAATGAAGCGGTTGATCGTCGACATCCACTCGCCACGTAACCCTTGTAGACTTGGGTGGCCATGACCATGACCTTGACAATGACCATGACCATGGCCATGGCCATGACCATGACCATGACCATGACCATGACCATGACCATACGTGAATGACCCTGGACCGGTGCTGTGACCGCCCCTGACCGGCCGTCGCCGTCTCCCGGCAGTGGGCAGCGTGAGTTTCGAGCAGCCGCGCGTGTCCGAGCTGGCCGCCGAGCCGCCGCCGCCCCGCCGCCAGTGGAGGATCGCCGGAGACGCCGTGAGTTGGTGTCCCCCCCCCCCCCTCCATCCACCATTCACTCGCTCCCGGCCGGGCTCGGCTGAGTCACCTGCCGGGGCTATATGGTGACGCCCGCCTATGGTCCTGTCCTGTCAGGAAGGCCGGGCACTGCGGGGGATCGCAGTGTGGTGACGTCCTGGTTTGTTGCGCTCAGTTTGGAATGCAATTAGACCTGTCGCGGCTTCATTTCGCAGCGAGTTTTGCTTTGGGTACTTGTTTCTGTGTGCTGCTGGCTGGGCTCTGTGCCCAAGACGTGTGGTCACCGCCAGGCCCGACTTGGCAGTGTATTTTGATCCCCGTGTCCACACCTGGTGCCGTAAGGGACATTGGGGCATGTACGCGAATGACGCCTTATCGGGAATGCACCGAGAGGCTCAGATCTGCCCTTGTGCTATGGTCGTGCGTACTTGTCCCGACTGAAATAATTGTCGGCCAGGAGGCCGCTCGTTGCGTGACGCTGTGACCCCAGGGCCGTAACACCGACCCCTGACCCCCGAGCACCCGGCCCCTGGCCCCTGACACCTGGCCTCTGACCCCTGCCGCCCGGACCGCCGCCAGGACGAGGCTGAGGACGAGGACGAGGACGAGCCGGAGGAGGGCGGTAGCGACGCGGTGGCGCGCGACTCCGACACAGAGCCGAGCGACCGGTGAGTGACGCGGCGCGGCGGGACCGCTGCCCCTCCCCACTTACCCCACCGCTGCCGCACGGTCCGGCGGCGCAGCTTCTGCTGACCGTGACGCGTGCAGGCACGGTTTGCCTGGGAGTCCCCCCCCCGCTGGCGTTGTCCTCGTGTCATCGACTGATGATGTGACGCGTATTAGTTTTGAAAGCATCACACTCCGGGGGACTCCTGGCAGCCGCATGCGGAGCCCTGGGTCAGCTGCTGCGCGCCTCGGCGCCCAGGGCCGGCCGTCGGGCGGCTCTGCGCCTGCCCGGCCTCCGTGACGCGCCTGAACGCTGCCGGGAGACCCTGGCCGGGGGCCGGGCCGGCCTGTCCAACCGCAGTCCAGACCGGCGGCGGGCGGGCTGGGCAGCCACGTGGCCGGGCGGACGGCGCGGGACAGCGTGCAGTGCAGCGGGGACGGCCGAGCCGAGACTGGGCACGGCACTCCGCGGCCGGGCGGACGGCGCGGGACAGCGTGCAGTGCAGCGGTGACGGCCGAGCCGAGACTGGGCACGGCCCGCCGCGGCCGGCCGGCCGCAGATCGGCCCAGAGCTGCCGCCGCCCGCCCGCTGGGCCCGCTGCTTTCAGCGCGGGTGCAGCGCCGGCGTCGACAGACACCCAGCCGTAGACGCGGTCGGGGCGCTTACCATCACGGCTGGGTGACGGCCGCAGACCGGCTTCCGTGCCGGTCCCGAGCGCTGGCCGGTGGGCAGGGGTTTCGGCGGAGCCGCGCGTGCCGCCGCCCTCGCAGCCGTCTCAGGCGCCCGCTGTGTGACCTAATACACAGACCGCTGCCAGACCGGGGGCGGCGCCCTCCGGCCTGTTTGATGCTGCTCAAGCTGCTTGTTCAGCTCGCTGGAGTGCAGCGCTCACATCACGTTTATTTACTAACCCGGGGCAGAGCGACTTTGAAGAAGGGCTCGTGTATATATTTAAACGTGTGCCGCATGACTAACGCGTAGCTCGTCGGAACAGCAGCAGTGGCGGATGGGACCTTTCGAAATATTTTCTGAGCCACACGTGCAGCGTCCTAGGAGCCAAGTAATCGCAATAACGGTGAACTGTGCGCACACAAGCATTCATTTGCAGCCATTATTCGTTGCCTCAAAATAAAGGCAACGTGATGTGGCTGAATGTTTCACCTAGTTAGTATAAGTAGTACCTAATGCGAGGCGCCGGTGTAACTAATGCAATGGTAAGTGGTTTAGGCTACAGGCACTGTCGTTAACTTTATCAACATTGTCATACTTGGCAAAGTAGAGATTCACTAGTAGTTATCACATTCAGGCTACCGTTGTCGTGCAGGTTGGTGGCATTGACGTTCCTAGCCTCCAGCTTTGCGCAGGAGTTCCTCGGCGCCCCGTCCCCACGGCCGCGATCGCCGCCGCGTCGGACATTGCGCGCCGCCGGCGACAGCGGCTCCGGCAGCGAGCCGAGCCGGCGCCCGGCAGCTAACGAGCCACTGCTCCCGCAGCCCGGCCGCCGCCAATCACACGCTAGGCTACAGGCAGAGCGACGGCGGCGGCGGCGGCGGCGGCGGCACGCTCACGCGCAGCCGCAGTCTGACGCGGCACGAGCCGCTCGGCCGCCGCCTGCACAGGGCCGCCCTGTCCGGCGCCGACGTGCTCAACCTATCGCTCAAGTATGTACGTCCGCCGGTGCGGCCACGTGGCCGGCGGCGGCGGCGACGGCGGCGGCAGCGGCGGTAGCGGCGCGCCTCGCTTGGTGGCGGTACCGCGCGGGGAGGCTCTTGCTGCGCTGGGCATCGCGGTCGGGAGCGGGCGCTCGGTGGAGGGGGCTGGCCGGTGGCACGACCGAGGACGGCGTGGGTATGGCAGTCCCGCCTGCGATGAACATGGACATTTGAAGAGAAATGGACAGCAGGTTGAAATAAGCTACGCTGTGGAAATCGCGCCAGACATTCCGATGACTGTTGTCGCGGAATGTGAGAGGTAACTAAAAGGCATCAAAGTGGGCGACACTTGAAAAGCCGGCTAATCGGTATCATTTTGGCAATGCCTGGCGTTTTTCGGTCACGATTCGAATGGCGTGTTTTGCCGTCAGCTGACACGGCAGAGTTGCCGGTTGCGGTGCGATCCTTGCGCTGCGACGACGCAGGGGTGGCCGACCTCCGAGCCGGTCGGCGAACTCCGCGTGCCGCGTGCCCAGCCGCAGCCGAGCCGGGCGTGGTGCGTCCCGCGCCGCTCGGCCGGTGGCCGCCGCCGGCCGCCCGCTGTAGAGCCGTAGATGGTGCATGCCGACTGGACTGGCGCGCGCATCGGGCTGCAGCGGCGGCCCGCCGGGCCTGCACTGAGCTGATGGCAGGCCGCGGGCCACAGTTGTCCAATAACCTAACATCCGTTCGTGTCGGGAACAATTCCCGACCGGATGGGAGACTGTTTGCGGTTGTTAGTGGGATGCGGAGAATCCGATCAGGATGGTGCAGTAGTCTGCTTCATGTGAGTCTGTGAGCGCGTTGCCTGTTGGCCATTGCTCTGGCTGTTTCGGTAGTTGAGATCTGTGTTGGTAGATCTGTGCATATTGCTGAGCCTGGTATGTTAGTTCAGTCGGAGGTGGCATGCGTGCACGGTCATAGACTGGGTCTACCGGGCCGCTTTGCCTGCTACAAAGCCTCAGAGTGGTGTACTCAGCTCACGTCGGCTGGGGAGATGCGCCTGTCCACAGGAGTGGTAACTGACCGTGAAGTGGCTAAAGTCTTGAAAAAACTCTCGTGTGGCAGCCACACGCGACCATTTATGGATCAAGACCCCCTGGTCTGGACTTGCCTCGTTTCCGAAAATTAATTTTCCGTGGAGCCATCCACTGGCTGTGAACCGAATCACGCCGGTGGGTGGCCAGGCTATATACTTCCCGGATGGGGAGCCATCGATTCATGGATTACCGATGGCGATGGCCGGTCGGCCGATGCGACCCCGGGGCGGCCGGCCCGCCGGCTCGGCCGCTGCCCTGGCACGCCGCCGGCCCGCAGCCCGTAAAGCCGGCCGCTGCTGCCGGCCGCGGCTGGCGTGGTGTCGGAGCCGGCCGCTCGCGGGTCGCCCGAGAGCGCGCGGCGAGCGTCGCCGAGCTGCCGCCACCCCGTCAAAGTTCCCTTCTGTCGGCAGGAGCTTGTTGCAATACATAGACGACGAGTTGCCGTGCAGGTAACTGCCGCCTGTCGCGCATGGCGTGTCCCGTAGCGAGCTACCGCCGTCTGGGCACGCCCCGCCCGCTGTGAATGCCGCTTGCCTGCATCCGCCCGCCGCCCGCGACCGCCGGAGCCGGACTAACCCGGCCGGCAGCGCCGCGGGCTAGCCGACCTGTGTGGAGCCACCGCCCGGGACGCGGCAGGCGCTGTCTGTCCCCGTCCGCTCGGTGTCGGTGACGTGCCCCACCCGCGCACTAACCCGGCCCTCTGCGGCAGGAGCCCGGCCGCCCGGTCCGCCGAGACGCCGCTCGACATATCGCAACAGTGAGTGAGCCCCTCCCCCCTCCCTCCCGCCGCCCGCTAACCCGCCGCTGGGCGCTCCTGCGGTAACCGGGGCCCAGTGTCCTGAGCCGAAGCTGGGACCCTGCGCACCTATCAAATCGAGCAGTGCTAGCGTGCGGACCGGAAATAGCAAACGGCAATTTTAGTTCCTGGTGCTTTCGATTCGTAACGCTGACGTGAGTAGCGGCTGTAAGTCAAACCAAGCTGTTAGAGGCACTTATTCTAATACGGTTTGATTCGAAAGTGCGCTTGTTCGTAGCTTCGTTTTGTGGGACTGGATCCTCAAATCTCTACGATTTTTGCTTAATTGTTGGCGTTTGCGCTGCTTTTGTTAGTGCCGTTTTGCGCCGATGGTAGGGCGTTGGTGAAGTTCGTTTTCAGATGACCCAGTTTCCTCCCAACGACAGCGTCCCGGAAGTACGAAGATGAGGCAGTTCCATCCCGTGTTTTCAGTTACTGCTCTCATGCCACGGCCGCAAAGCCCGTACAAATTGCGCGTTATTGTATCTGCTGCGTAGCACTCGCAGGCACATGGCCATTCCAGATGTATCAGCTGACTGTGCGTTGTCGGCTTCATGGTCTCGATAGTGGACACACAGATGGGGTGCCCATTTGCTGGCCTTGTAACGCTGGCAGCGCTCTTGCTTGCTGGTCAGTCCAGCAGCGAAGTGGTGCGTTAAGTGGCTGCCATTCCTATGAGTAATTGAGTAATGGATTATGCCAATGCAGTTTTGTGGCACAGGTAGTTTTCACGTACGGTGCGGATGTGCCCTTGTGGCACCTGCGCCGCCCCGCTCTTGCCATTGCCTGTATGGCGACTGGCCGGCAGGGCATTTGCGGGTCCAGTGGTGCATTTGGGGCTTTATTTGGTGGAATAATGCGGGCTGTTGATGTATCGAAATTGCCAGTCGACGGTTTTTTTACGTATCTGACACTATAATCCACCGTTTCTGTAATCCATTCGCCGCCTGGTGGCTTGAAGGAGCGACTGTAATGCCGTTAAGTGGCCTTGGTGGAGTGAATGGTGTGCGATCTATTCGTCTTTGCATACCATGCGATAGACGTGGGAAGAGGCAGGGCAGCAATATCATGGTAACCGTTGTGTGTAATGGCAGGAGTTTGGTGCATCGATCTTTGCTCAGGTCACCGCGAGGTGCGCGCACCCGTATGCTTGCCAGCGCATGTGCGGCCATTTGAACGTGCCGGCTACCGTATCAGCATGTGGATGACACATGACGTACATCGTGCGGATGCGGTGTCGGCAGGGCTACGCTGACGGTGGAGGAGTCGCGCACAGCCCGCGAACTGGCGTCCGCCGGCCAGAAGGAGGCTAAGGCACGCTCACCAGGTCAGTGGCACGCTCGCCAGGTCAGTGGCACGCCTACCAGGTCAGTGGCACGCTCATCAGGTCAGTTACACGCTTACTAGGTCAGTGGCACGCTCACCAGGTCAGTGCCACGCTCACCAGGTCAGTGGGACGCTCATCAGGTCAATGGGGCGCTCACCAGGTCAGTGGGACGTTCATTAGGTCAGTGGCACGCTCACCAGTCCAGTGGGACACCCACCAGGTCCGTGGCACGCTCACCAGGTCAGTGGCGCGTTCACCAGGTTAATGGGACGCTCACCAGGTCAATGGAACGCTCATCAGGTCAGCGGGTGCTCACCTAATGGGTGCTCGCTATCTCAGTGGAACACTCAAGCATCACTGCGGCGCTCTCACTGGGTGCGGTGGCCACCCATTACACAAATGTGACGATGTCGCTCTCTTCTGTGGGGCGGCCTCCGTCGCTCGGTGGAGAGCGGGCTGTATCGGCCCCCCAGCAGCTCCGCCTCGCGCGGCGCTGTCCGGTCAACCCAGTCTCGACCGCCCCCGGCGTCCGCTTGTTCGCTTGTTGACAGTTCATCAGCGGCTTATTCGCGTGGGCTGTCGTTGGCAGCGTGCCGGCCGCCGGCGGAGCCGACTGAGAGTGCTCGTGTGGGCCGGCCATGTGCCGCGGGTCAGTGCGCGCTGGCCGCTCGCCCCGGTGGTCGGCTGCTGCCGCTGGCCCCGCGGCGGCAGCGGTGACCGCCAGCGGTAGCCTGGCGGGCTCGCCACGCGCACCGCCGTCCCGTGGGACCGGCCCGGCACGCGCGGTCGGCGCCCGGCTCGGGCACCTGCTCATGGTCTGTGCGGCCGGGGTCGAAGCGCCGATACATTGTTAAAGCAAATGCGCGGTTCGTTAGTTACCTTGCGTGGCCTCGGGGGTCCCAGGGTGTCCGATGGTTTGTATCGATGGGGCGGCGTGCTGCTGGTTCGTGTGACGATACCGCTAGTGACCGCTTGCTGCCCGGCCGTCGTCTCTCATGTTTTATGTGTGTGCTCCCACGACTGCGGTTGCACCTGTGCATTTCTTTACGATTTGGCGTACGTCACGTTTCTCGCGGCGTGTACGGACGGTGTCAGCGGGGGAGAGAGGACACCCTCATCGATCCGGCCGCCGGGCGTGGTTGCCGTTTGGCGTCGGCCGTGTCGCGGCGGGGCGTGACCCTGGCGGCCGTGCAGACGGCGGCGGGCTTCATGGCGGGTCACCCCTGCAGCCGCCGGGGCGGTAGCCGGCCGCAGCGGCGCCGTGTGTGACCGTCGCCGTCCCTCCGCCGGCAGGATCGGACTCCACGCTCCGGAGACGCCACAGCCTGGCCGGCGAGGACGACCTGGCCGAGCAGACGGGCACCCTGACCCTAGGTCACCGCACCAGGTCACTGTCGGACAGCGAGGCCACCTCCTGTGAGTCCCAGTGGTGGGAGTTGCACGCTGAGCTCAGCTCACTGTACTGCGCTGCAAGCGGCTGGGCCAGTTATAGCTGTCGTGAGCAGCTGCCGTGAGTTGCCGTCGCTTGTCTCGTGACTCCTCCCTCTCTCCATGGCTCTCATTAAGCCTGGGATCGGCCGCTGATCGTCATCACTCGACTCCACGGCCAGCTGTCAGCGCGCGTGTCCCCCCTCCCCCTCCTCCCTGGACTCCGCCCCTGCTCGCACTCCTGCGCTGCGCTGCGACCTTCCTCCAGCTGGTCTGTCGGCGCGTGTCCTCCCTCCCCTCCTCCCTGGACTCCGCCCCTGCTCGCAGTCCTGCGCTGCGCTGCGGCCCTCCTCCAGCTGGTCTGTCGGCGCGTGCACTCCTTCCCCTCCTCCCTAGACTCCGCCCCTGCTCGCAGTCCTGCGCTGCGCTGCGCTGCGCTGCGGCCCTCCTCCAGCTGGTCTGTCGGCGCGTGTCCTCCTTCCCCTCCTCCCTGGACTCCGCCCCTGCTCGCACTCCTGCGCTGCGCTGCGCTGCGACCCTCCTTCAGCTGGTCTGTCGGCGCCGGCAGCGACGGCGGCGGTGAACGGGTCGTCGTCGGCGGCGGCGGCAGCGGCGGCCGGCGGCGGCTCGGCTTCGCCCGTGCCGCCGCCGCGCCGCCGCGAGAAGTTCCGCAAGACCACCCCGCCGCGCCCCGTCTCCAACGGCCTGCCGCCCACGCCCAAGGTGCACATGGGCGCCTGCTTCTCAAAGGTCAGTGCTCGTCGCCCGCTCCGGTGTCGCTGGCCGTCCCGATCGCCGTCCGGCCGCCGCGGCGGTGTCGCGTCGGTGGTGGGAGCGCGCGCGCCGCGGGTGGTGCGCGGGGAGTGGAGTGGCACTTCCAGCGCGTGCGGTGCGTGGTGAGGCTGGGCGCTGCGGGTGTCTGGAGTAGGCTGATCTGCGGTGGGTGCTTGAAGGCGCTTGTACGCGACACAACCATTGTTAACCATGTCGCTTGGTGGTACTGAAAATGGGACAAATGGTCTTGGGCATTCATCACGAATCGAGTACATTCATCACGAATTTAGTAATGGACACGTCAAGAAATCAATGAGTGCTGCGTGGCGGGAATGGCTTCAAAAGTAATTATTGCAAGCGCTCAGCTCCACATGTATAGAACTTGTATGCTGGAATGTCATCGAACAGCTGTGGTTGTTTGACACGGGTAGTCGCCAGGTCCGCGCAAGAGCAATTCCTCTGTTCACGGCACGTTATGAGTTGTGTGGGCTTTCGTGTGTCCAGCGTGATGTTCTGTGTCCATGCTCCAATCGATCGGGACTTGTCCCCCGCACCGGCCGTTCCGCGTCTTCTGAGTGTACTGGATGTTCCTGGCTCGATCTGTCGTGGTTTGGTCACGTGCGAAACTCGCACGCTGCACCCAGCACCCCAAACTGTCCCACGGCCCCCGCGTGTGGTTGCCGCGGGCCCCACCGCCGCCGGGCAGTGGCGCCGGCGGGGGACGGGGGCGAGGGGAGTCGGGCCGTCACATCCCCATTGTGGTCGGGCCGTCACACCCGCGTTGTGCGGCTTTCAGAAGTGGTCAGTGCCGCACCGACCACTGTGTCGCACCAACGCCGTGCTGCATGGTATTGGTACTGCACGACTATGGTATTAACACCGTGTTGCACCGACTCTGTGTCGTACCAGTACCGTTTCGCACAGACTGTGTCGTACTAACACCGCGTCGCACCGACTCTGCGTCGTACCAACACCGTGTTTCCCTAACTCGATGTTGTGCCAACGCCGTGTCGCGCCAACTCCGTGTCGTACCCACACCATGTCGTGCTGGCCCCGTGTCACACGAGCGCGCCTGCCTTACCGTCCCGCCGCCGGCAGGTGTTCAACGGTTGCCCGCTGCACATCACGTGCACGACCACCTGGGTGCACCCGCTGACGCACGACCAGCACATCCTGGTGGGCGCGCTGGAGGGCATCTACACGCTCAACCTCAACCAGCTGCACGAGGCCACCATGGAGCAGCTGTTCAACCGGCGCACCACCTGGATGGTGGTAGTGAAGGACGTGCTGATGAGCGTGTCAGGTGGGTGGCGGGGCGCGCGCCCAGGCCGGGTCGGGTCGGGGCCGCAGCCTGAAGGGTCGAGCGCGCACGTGACAGCGGCGGGTCAGCCGCCCTGAGCGGCGGGCCGGGAGGGCTCCAGCGGCTGGTGGAGGGGCGCGTGTAGCGTGCTGTGGGACCGTGTCGGACCCTGCGGCGGTGGGCGGTGCTTGAGTCGGGTGGAGTCGAGCTGGGTGGAAGCCCTCCACATGGACTGGATGTCAGCAGACTAGCGTGTGTACGGGATAGCGCTCGAACTGCACGTGTTCCATGAGTGGGGGGTGACTGGTTTGCGTGTGTTGGTGTGGTGTCCCACGGGCTGGCGAAGCAGTGAGTCTAATGCAGAAGCGGTTTGTTTGACGTAGTGGATTTTGAATCGGTGTCGACGCCGTACCGTTGGCTGCGTTAACAGCAGATATGCTGGTGACATTGGTTTCTTCAAACAGGTCTGAAAAACCCGTGCCTCTATCGACACGATCTGTTGGCTTTGCACTCAAGGCAATTCAACAGATTTTCGTTGAACGTGAACAAGATACCGGAAAAGCTCGTTCCTAGAAAGTATGCCATGACGACTAAGGTGCGGCGGGTGGAAGCCCGGGATGGCTGCGACAGACGTTGCCCGGTTTGTGTACCTGGCCTTTTCTTGTGGGCTTCAAACAACGGAGGTATCTGGCGAAAATAGCATTGATGAAGTCTGTGTATGCAGCCGAGTAACAAATGTGAAGCCCTGTTATCGTTAACGTCTGTGATGCATTCACTGATTTCCTCGTCGTAGTGATTGATGGAAGCACATGTACTCAAAAGCTGTGGGACTTTTCATTCATTCGCAAATTTTCAGTGTTTTGTTATAGCTTTGCTTTTAACAAATCACGCCCAACAGGATTTTAGCATATGCTAAATGAACGTGCATCATTAGGCCGTGTAGATGAGGGAAGATCCGATTTTATCACTGCAGTTTAATTAATTACCTATGTGTTTTTCGTTTATACCTTAATTTTTAATCAAACTTGAACCCATCAATTGATTCTGATCATTGCAGTTTAATTAGTTCAGTAGTTGTAAAGTCACACGTGCTGCATGGGCGGTATCATCCTTTCCGCTCCACACCCAGTCTCGCTGGATCACCTTCCTCGTCCCGTGTCCTCTCCACTCCGTCATCTGTGGGCCGCCGGTGCTCAGGCGCCTTCCGTGGACCGGGCGGTGGGTGTTCTCCGTTGTATTGGCCTCCGCCACTGCTGCTGACCCGACACCGCCCCCTGGCCAGGTGCCCGACACCAAGGGCTGTGAGCGCTGTTGTATGGGCCGCAACCCCTACAACGGCTACAAGTACCTGTGCGGCGCCGTGCCCTCCGGCATCTTCCTCATGCAGTGGTACGACCCGCTCAACAAGTTCCTCTTGCTCAAGGTGAGGTAGCAAAGCGACCGTTTTGACAAAATGAATGACATACATTCCTTATATGTATATATGTATATATGCATGTGCGTGTGTGTGTGCGCGTGCGTGCGCACGTGCGTACGTACCTGCGTGCGTGCGTGCGTGCGTGGGTGTGTATACAATATTTATGTTACACCAGACGAACAGTTTGATCTGTTGCATTTTTTTTGGATGCTTTCTTCTTGTTACGCAAAGCCACCCGGTTTGGCCGGGTGTTGGGGGACTGGGCCATGCCCCATCAGTGCGATGGCGCCGTGCCCGGCTGGTGTCCGGCAGCCGGTGGTGAGCCCCGAGCCGTCGGAGGTGCCCAGCCGGCGCCATGGCCCGCAGGGCGCCGGTCACCGGCGCTAACGCGGCATCTCTCTGCGCCGCAGCACCACGAGTGCTACGTGCCGGGCGAGCTGCGCGTGTTCGAGATGGTCATCACGCCGGACCTGGAGTACCCGCTCATCTGCGTGGACGTGCGGCGCGGCTACGAGTCAGATGCGCTGCAGCTAGACATGATCAACCTGGTGAGGCGCTCCCCTCCCCCCCCCTCCCCTGCCCCTCTCTCCCCTCCCAGAAGACGCCTTGGACCGCGGTGGTTTGACAGCTAGGCGGTCAGCGTTATTTATTCGGGCGGGGGGGGGGGGGAGATTTGTTATCGGCTTTACCGTGAACGGTACATTTCAACACTCCTTCAATCGTGCTTTATAAGTGTTCAATAAACGTGGATCGACGCAATCTTCATTTGTGAGTCTTGGCGTTCATGGTTGGCGTTATCGCAATACGTTGCGGATAGTCGTATCAGGTTTGCATTTGGTTGCCAGCGATGTCGTATCTGTTTGTTCATGGTCGGCTGAGGTGTACCGGCGTCTTCTGCAGGTGATAGCTGTGCCCACATCTCTGATAGTCGTACTCATTCCGTGTGCCTGCTGCACGAACGGCGAGGGGGCGTGGTTGTAAATTCTGGTTCCGCGTCCGCGCGCCTTCCGACACGGCTGTGTTTCCGTGTGTTATGCCGTGCAGTATCCGCACGGCGTCATTGCGCCGCGCCCAGCGCTGCTCGCTGTGTCACATCACGTTCGTGTTCTCCGGGGCGGGACGCGCGCTGCACCTCGCGGTCCCTTCTGGGCGCCGGCGCGTCTCTGCCCATGCCGTGTCCTCTGGACGTCGGCGCCTCCCGCGCGGCGCGTTGCTCGCCGCTGGGGTCGGGCTCAGGCGGGCTGCGTGGTCTTGCGCACGTTGTCTCCGTTAAGTGCACACGTGTTGTCCGATAGTGATGCGGTCATCCCTGCATCCCACACAGTGCAGCTGCACTTTTGTATAAATTCGATCCGTTTTTTTGAATGGATAGATTTCTGGGATCAGCGCTCACGCTAATCAGTGCTTGTATTGTGAGCCCTAAGCCCCACCATCCGATCGCGCAGTTCCAGGCAACGACAGAATTTAGTTGCGAAAGCTTAACGCGCCGCAATGCTCGGCACGGTCCGTCCCGCCCTCTGACGTCAACTGACCTTCAGCGCGACCGCTGCCACCGGCCGCAGGCCGTACCTGCCAAGGGCAAATAGCGAGCGTCCTAAAGCGACTCGAACCCACCCTGCCAGGGGTGGATGGATCGGAATGCAGGCGCTCTAACCAACTGAGCCACCGGGACGAACTGTCCTTTACTGTCCTTTACTGTCCTGCACTGACCTGTCCTTTACGGACGTTCAGCCGCCCCGCCGTGCGGCAGAACCGTGTGGTGCTGATGTGTCGTCCCGTTGTATGGCCGTGTGCCACGTGCTGTTGTGTCGTTCTGCCGCAACCGCCGTGCTGTGGTGTGCTGCTGTGTCGTTCTGCCGCACCGCCGTGCCGTGGTGTGCTGCTGCGTCGTTCTTCCGCACCGCCGTGCTGTGGTGTGCTGCTGTGTCGTCCTGTCGTATCGCCGTGCTGTGATGTGCTGCTGTGTCGTCCCGTCGTATCGTCGTGTTGTGATGTGCTGCTGTGTCGTCCTGCCATGCGGCCTTGTTGTAGTGTGCTGCTTTGTCTTTCTACCACACCGTCGTGCTGTGGTGTGGTGCCTCGTCGTCCTGGACTGTTTTCACTGGTTTGCGGCTGCATGGCTGTGCTGCATGTCTCAGTTCCGCTTACCTGTACGCCCTTGGCGGCCAGAACACGGCCAGCTCCATGGTTCCCGGGCTGCGAGGTTGGAGGACATGGGACTGCACAGCGACGGTGGTGGCGCGCCACGAGCGGCTGGCCGTGCGCGCCGTCACCCAGCTGGAGCGCGATGCCGTGCTCGTGGCGTACGATAACGTCGTCCAGGTAGGCTGTCGTTCGTCGACCGCCCTCCGTCCCACCGTGCCGCCCCCTCTTCGCCCCCGCGCCGCCGTCTCCGCTCCGTACGCGCGGGCACGACACCTGGGGAATCGACAGGTGAGGTGGGCCCAATTCACGGTTGCGGGACGGGGACCGGGCGCCGGGCGGGCTCGGCCGGGCGCCGCTGCCGCCGCTAGCCGGTCTCCGGTGGTGAGGACTGGTGGAGGGTACGCTGCAGGCTGGGTCGCATGGATTGGATCGAAACTGTGGGCTCGGTCGACCTCCTCTGGCGTGGCTGCAGGTTTCATACGTCGTCCCGTCCGCGACGGTGGATTTGGCCCGTCGGAGCCCTTGTCAGCATGCATTGATCCCGCACTTTGAAGTATCCTTGTAATGCATGTGAAGCCCGCTGGCTAATCCCACATTCGTTGTCATACCCATCGCGAATTCCTTTGCCTGTTTGTAACTCGCCGTTTTGATATCAAAATGCGGCTAGAATTAGACCCGTTTCTCCGGCTCTTCGGTACGACACCGCCGAACTGCGGGAAAGTGGGGCTCGCTCACACCGCCGGCTCTGTCGTGTCTGTAGCTGTCTGTGGGCGCGCTCGGACCGCGGCTGTCTGTGTCTGTAGCTGTCTGTGGGCTCGCTCGGACCGCGATCGTCACGCTGGGCACTGGTGCGGCGGCGTGCGCCGCGGGCGTTGCTCTGATCTGGCCAGTCGTCGTATAGCTGTCATTGAGCGGTAGCGAGGCGGCCGGCCGCACCAGGGTGCGGCCCAGTCGCCGTGTCGCAGCCGCCCGCCGTCCGGCGCAAGGTGCGCCATCGGCTCCCAGAGCCGGGTCCCCACGTGGAGCGGCCGCACGACGTTACTGTTCCGACCCGGGGACACGTGCGCTGTCGCGCCCAACTGCCTCCGCCCGCGATAAGTGGATGCGGGACGCAGGGGACAGACGCGGACCCCGGGGTGCCATGACGCATAAAGCGCCAACGCTGAGTCCGTCTGGACTGGACACCCCCGGCTTGCTTTCCCTTGCGTTGCCGATGGTGCAGACGGCCACCACGGCCGTACCACAATACTCAGACATGACGTCACAGCAGTAGGTCGGAGGTAATTGCACAGGCGTGACTATGGTTTACCGTGCGGTGTTTGTGCGCACGCTTGGCGCTTCACTTCACGATTAGCGAGGCCGTGTGTGTCCGCAGGCACCCGGCGTGTCAATGCTCGGTCGATGATGGCATATTTGCGCATGTAATGATGGCCTGGATCGATAAAGCCACGTCATCGCGCCCCCTATCATTGAGGGTTTGTGGGCCTTGTGGCTGTGTTCGTTGTAGATGCGACGATACTGGGTTGTCACACTGCCTGCCATTGAGGGTTCGGCGACAGAACTTCTGACGCAATTACTGCTAATAACTAAACTCACAACGTGACGTCGAACGCAAGTGCTTCACGCGACATTAGTTGTACGCAACAAAACTTCCAACACAACTTCTACGCGGCATTATTATTGATGCAGGAACTTCTCGTGCATCAATTTCTGTGCGACAAAAATTCTAGCACAGTAATTTGTATGCGTCATTTCTTCTACGCGACCAAACTTTTGACGTGAAAGCTTGTACATGGCATCAGTTGTAATGCAATAAAGTATAACACATAAACTTCCTCGAGACAAAGCTTCCATGCAAAAACCTCTGCACGATATTAGTTCTAATGCAAAAGCTTCTGCACGTGCACGATATTACGTCTAATTCAATAACTTATGCATCTGCTTCTATGCGACAAAGCCTTTTTCACAAACATTTCTACGCGTTATTACTTCCACGCGATACAACACGTAACGTCAAAACCATTACACGATATTTCTTCTTATACGGCAACTTTTAACGCATAAACTTCTATGCGATAACACCTTTAATGCAAAGACGTACACGACGTCACTTCCAATGCAAGAAATTCCAACGCATAAACTGCTACGCCACAAAACTTTTGGCGCAAAAGCTTCTGATGCGAATGACGTCAACAGGCTCCGATTGCCGGTACGGGGAGTGTTTTCCAATGTCCAGTGTTTTCCAATGTCCAAACCGTAGGCCTTATCACCGACGGAGCTTCCTCGCCTCGTCTGCAGGGCTTGGGCTCCTTTTCGTACTGAGCTTCTCCGCTCACCACCACCACTAGTCCTGTAATTGGTAGCTCTACCAGTAGGTCAGAACAAGGAATCATCCCTAGGTTGATTCCATCATCGTCTCTGGGGGCCCCAGTGACGCTGCGATCCTCTGACTGACGTGCTGGCTATCGGGACTTGTCCCATTTCGGCTGGCTGCCACGGCCATGATCGGCACCCAATGAGACCTCTGTGCTTAGTGCCGGGGGCCCCTCACCAGCAGAGTAACCCTCTCATTGTCTCAAAACAGCGGCGCCGTTTTGTGATAATAGGTGGAGGAGGGCGGGCATTGAAAAATGACGCAATAATCCTTCAAAATAGTCAATAGTCGGTCAACGGGGCTCTCCCCGTACTTGGCGAGAAGAGCCCTGCCAGGGGTACCTTCTCAAAGTTTTTGGTTGTAGTCCAAGTTGGAGGGAGGAGGCGGGGGAGGGCTGGAGCCCATCCAGCTGAACATAAAGGAGCCCCTGTCTCAAGGTTGCCTGAGCAACATACTAGGGTCTGTGGTCGACATTCCTGGACCATTGCCACTTGTATCCGGTCAGTGGGACACCTGGATGATACAGAAACCTCTGTTACGGGGCAGGAGACCCCGTTAAGTAACTCTGGGCCCCCGGGCCTAGAGAGGGACTCCCTTCTTTCCAGCGGCCCCCGAGTGAAGTAAGTGCAGACCCCATTTACGGATACGCGGCGCCAACGCCACACATCTGCTTAACGTTCTGGGCGGGCGTTGGCGCGTCTGGGGGCTGAGTGCAGCGGCAGGCGGCGGCTGAGCGCGCGCCCTCTGTTGCCAGGTGGTGGACTTGCAGGGCAGGCCGACCTCGTCACGACGCCAGATATCGGAGCTGCAATTCGACTTCGCCGTGGAGAGCGTCGGTCAGTGGGGGATGCAGACGGGGCCTGCCAGGTCCTGGCGCTGGGGGGGGGGGGGGGGAGGAGGGGCTGGGGCCGCTCGGGTACTGCTGTGGAGAGCGTCGGTCAGTGGGGCTGCAGACGGGGCCTGCCAGGTCCTGGCGCTGGGGGGCGGGGCAGGAGGGGCTGGGGTCGCTCGGGCACTGCCGTGGAGAGCGTCGGTCAGTGGGGCTGCAGACGGGGCCTGCCAGGTCCTGGCGCTGGGGGGCGGGAGAGGAGGGACTGGGGCCGCTCGGGTACTGCTGCGGAGAGCGTCGGTCAGTGGAGTGGAGCTGCGGACGGGGCCTGCCGGGTCCTGACACTGGGGGAGGAGGGTCTGGGATCGCTCTTGTACTGCCGTGGAGAGCGTCGGTCAGTGGGGCCTGCAGGAGGGGCCCACCAGGTCCTGGCGCTGGGGGGGAGGGGAGGGGCTGGGACCGCTCGTGTACGGCCGCGCATTTCCGCTGTCGCCAAGCATGATGCCTGTCCCGAGCGCGTCTGGAGTAATCACGGCGTACGGGCCACTCAGAATAGCACAGGCGTGCCGCACGACTCTGGAGTTGGTCCAGAATGCCGCCAGTTGTGGCTGGTGGCCTTTTTGACCATTTCTTTCAGACCGATGGCAACCGATCGTGTCTGCCCTTTCCAATGCTAATAAGAAGCTCTGTTTTTGGAATTGCGACGTTTTCAGTAGGCACAGGTGTGCGTCTACACTACTGTGCAGCGGTTTCAAAGAACGTGTTACGTGATCAAATCATCGTGGCATCGAGCTAAAAGTATGACGATGCTGGCGATTTTCTGCGCTCTCATTGTGACTGATGCTGTCCCGGACCGTTGGTCCTGCTCCTCCGCGGTGGTCGCTGCCCAAGCGATGTGTCAGATCCGTGTCTCGCACCTGACATGACCTGAAGCCGTCCCTGTGTGATGTGCCGGACCTGACCCGACCCGACCTGACCTGACCGGGTCTGACCTTGTCGGGCAGTGTGTCTGACGGACAGCGTACTGGCGTTCCACAAGCACGGGATGCAGGGGCGCAACTTCGCCAACAACGAGGTCACCCAAGAGATCACCGACCCCCAGCCGGGTGTTCCGCCTGCTGGGCAATGACAGGTCGGTCGTCCCTCAGTGCTCTCGTCACCGATCTGCCTGTTACGTCCGTGGGTAGGCGCTGTCAGGTGTCCGATGGTCATGAGAGCTGACCCGACGCACCATGCTGCGCAGCGAGACCACGGACTCGATGCCACTTCACGGAGGCCGATCGCCGAACGCGTGGGGTCTTCTGGGTAAGTCGGCGTGGGGCTGCTATGGGGCGTAAGTTTCATAGCGTTACGGACGAAGAAAACGGGTACGCGGTACATATGGGGAAATGCATTTTTAAAGAAGCGGACCTTCATTTGTTTTCAAAACCATCGTTTTCCGTGTTTTTCGGCCATTCAACAGTGGTGAGTGACGTTTCCGAGCCTGCGCTCGTCAGGAATATGCGCCGCGGGTTATGCACTGGGCGAACGGTAGGATGGATACCGCTGACGTCACACCGAGCCCTTGCTGTCCGGCCGGAGCTGAAGGCATCCGGGGGTTACGTGCAAACGTGCGTGCTGGCGTGCTGCTCACGTGCTTACGTGCGCGTGTGTAGGCAAGCTTCCGGGCGAAACAAGTCGTGCACTGATTCCACATGTCTGGGATGAGTTGTGAGTGCAAAGTCTTCGGTCACTTTCGTTTCTATAAACTGCAAAGCCGTATAAACTTGTCGAATTGACGTCCTGTCCTGGTGGGGCTGTTGTCATGCGCGACACAGAGACACGGTCAGGACGCGGTCCGAACGGTGCAGGATGTTCTGGGACGACTCTTATGAAATTCAAAGACGCGTCATGCACTCGGAAGGTCGCCGTTTTCGTGACCATTGGTGACTCCTCTGATGTACGTCATGATAATTACGCTAATCAGTGTTTATGCCTGCCATTGAGTGCATTAGGGGTGATCAGTGTCGTGGCCATTTAGTCATGTGCGTATTGTGCCCACGTCTGGGGAATCAATGCTGGATATCTTATATTCTGCAAACCGGTAGAGTTACTATGAATAACAGCTCTTGGCTTCTTACGTATGATTGAATGAACCCCTCACTACGCTTTGATCAGATGGCAGCCTTGGATAAGCAGCATATTATTCATATTAGGCAGAAAGTGCAGGGACTGTGGTCACGATTAGGGTGTCGTTCACATGGAGAGTTTTGTACTTGTTTGTTTTGCGCAACAGATTTCACTGTACGTTTCGTGCTACTAGAGCTTCAAAATCCTCTTCATTTAGCTGTTACCACTGAAGTATATAAGCGTCCCATATGGCTGGCGAGTCAACGCCTGTTACGCTGCAACATTTACGCGAAAACGAACGCGAAATCGAGTCCGACGCCACCGACCTCTCATCGGTCGCGGTGCACTATTTCAGGTCCTCGTTTCCCGGCGTATCCCGTGTGTACAGTTACCTTAAGTGTCCCGCTGCGTGAAATAGTGTGTGGCGTATGTGTTGTGTCCTGCTGTCTTCAGCGCCACGCGGTGGGATGTGCCGCCATCTGTGCGGGAAAGCCAGCTTTGTAAGGTGTCCGGTTGCGTGTCCTTTGTGCGGTATCTTGCTGTGTTCGATGCTCTGGGGATGAGCTGTCCTGCTGCGTGAGGTGTTCTCTTGCGTGCGGTGTGCTGCTGCCCGTGTTGTGTCTGGCTGGCTGTCCTCTAGATGTCGTGCCGCGTGTCCTGTCCCATGTGTGGGATGCCCTGCTGTGTGCGATATTCGGTGTGCGCAAGGTATTTTGGTGTGCGCGGTGTCTAGCTGTGTGCGTTGTCCTGCTGGAGGCGGCGCCCCGCTGTGTGCGGGCCCTGCTGTAAACGGTGTCCCGCTTTGTGAAACACCCAGCTGTATGAGGCACCCAGCTGTGTGAGGCACCCAGCTGTGTGAGGCGTCAAGCTGTGTGAGACACCCAGCTGCGCGAAAGGACCAGCCGTGTGAGGCACCCAGCTGCGTGCGACACTCAGCTGTGTGAGGCGCTCAGCTGTGCGCCCTTTGTCGTGTGCGGTGTCCTGCTCTGCTGCTGTCTGGCCGCGGTGACCTGTGCCGGCGGTGACAGGGTGCTGCTAGTATTCAGTCGTTCGTCGGCTGGTGACACGGACGCGCCCGTCAACCTCTACGTGCTCACCGGCCACGAGGAGACGTTCTGACAGGCACACCGCGGCCGACCGTGTGCCGCCGGTACTTGTCTCTGCCGTCCCTCTGCGTGTGTGTGCGCCCACTTTCGCTCTGCGCGCGCCGCTGTTCCGCCTGTAGTCCGCTTACGGGCCGATGCACTGACCGCGCCTGACGCTGCCAGCCGGCGCCGCGCGCTGGGCGCCGGGCGACCCGGCCGCCTCCAGCCTGTATGACCGCTGATTACCGGCCGGCCGACCCACCCGTGCTGTCCCCCGCAGGGGCACCGGTTTCAGCCGGTGTAGGGGACTAGCGTCCCCTCGGATCCCAGCTCCGGTAGCGGGTGGACAGCGCAAGCTGGTCATTTCAGGACCTGCCGACCCTGTCTGTACGTGAGCTCCTGCTCCTTGTCGCTCCCCTCCCTCCTCAGCGCCTGTATTCCCTCATCCACTTCTCATTCTCGTTTTATTGGGGTCGCCGTGCCCCCTCACCCGCGTCCCAGCATGATCGGATCCTGGTGGCTGAGGGGCGCGTCGTGCATGTCAGTCACGGCGCGTCCCAATACTCCCCTTTGGCCAGGATATCCGGGGCACGGGGGCCCGTGGGGCCCCACACGGGTCTAACAGCTCGTCGCTCGCGCTGCGGCTGGGTGTTCCTAGCGCGTCTCCGCTTGTGGTGCCTAGCCGCGCAGTGGCTTAAGGGGTCAAGGGGCGGCGGCGCTGAACCTCGGTCAGGACGGGGAGGGGTCGTCCCGGTTACACCTGGTCGTGTGGGAGGCGCCGTTCGCCCGTATAGCACCGGGGTAGCCCTGGCGGCGACCACCTCTCAAGGGAGTGTTGGACCGTCCCCCAGTTGGGCTCCGAGGTGGGTGGGGATCCCCCGCTGCCGAATGCTTAATAGAAATCGCTCGGCTTATCAAAACTCAACAAACATCCGGCCCCCGAAAGGAGGTCGGACAGCGCAGAGGCCCGCATTCGAGGGGGATTCGGACCGCCCCTGCCCTCGGATTCTGATCTTCTCCAGCCGGGATGTATAGCTTTTTACCCTGTCACCGCTCCAACGACGGAACGGCTGTGACAAGTTCAGAGACATCACGAGATGTGACAAGCTGAGGGATGGCAATATCGAGGCAGAGCCCGCCAGTAGTCTGGAGGCGAAGCGTTTATTAGACGCGAAATAGTCCACTTGTAGTATTCGTGGTGAGAACGGGAAGCATGACAACACCGTAGCTTCGGCAGTAACACCACACAACACAGAAACCCACCTAGAGACGTCGTAAATTGTTTTGACCTTCGTGATGTAAGTGAGAGCGAAATCGTCGAGGAGCTTTCGGAATTCGACGTAACCGCCGCGCGCAGTATCCTGGTTAGGAGAGGAGAACTGACGGCCACCAGCAACATCATTCTCACTTTCAATCGTCCAGATCTTCCATCAGATATCCGTGTGGGCTATGCCCGCGTGAAAGTCCCTCCTTTTGTTCCCAACCCAATGCGCTATTTCCATTGTCAACTGTTCGGCCATACGAAACCCCATTGCCGCATTAAGTCAGCGTGCAGCAAGTGTTCGTCCACCACCCACCTGAGTAACCACTGCACCGCTGACCAGCCTTATTGCGTCAACTGTGATAAGGACCAAACACCACACACTGTATTTCACCGTACGTGTCCGGCGTTCGCGGGAGAAAAGTAGATACTTTCACTAAAAACTTCCAAAAGCATATCTTTCTGAGAGGGCAGAGACCTGTATGACGCAAGGCACCCAGGCTCTCATATGCATCGAGATTAAAAACTGCTTTGCCGCGTAACAACGTCATCGAGCAGATGACGGTCATCCAGCTCGTGGAACTCCTGAAATCGTTTGGTCCCACCGTTGCACCTTCAGCACGTACACCGGACTCCCAGCCGGCGGTCCGAACTCCCTCCTCGCCGGCCGACCAGTCTTAAGTGGACGTTGGCGTCCGGGTTAAGCCCCCCCCCCCCCTTCCCCCCCCCGCTTCATCCTCAGCGCCGGGCCGGTCGGCACCTGTCATGTTGCCGATTCCCTCGGCGCCGTTGTCTCTTGCCGGAGAGAAGGGTTGGACGGCGGCCCGGCGCGGCCGTGGCCAGCGGGCTCCACCGGCCTCCGCGTCGGTTTCCTTGCCACCTCCGTCCGCCTCCGCTTCGCGTGCCCCACTGCCGTTGTCACCTCCGAAACCACTAGTGAACGCATGCGGGCGGGCGATAGAAACGTTGGAGCGACACGAGGCGGACAGGCGCGCCCGCAATGCCAAGCGGGCGCCAGGGGAATGGCATAAGCGTTCGACATACAACGAGCATCTTATCATTCTGCGTGACAGGTATTTTAACATAATGAACATATTGGAATGCGTGGCACGAACATCCTACGGAGCAGATCGGAAAGCACCTTTATTGTTATGCAGTTCACTGATACGCTCCTAGCTAAACTATGCGTGTATTGTATATGGTGGCACCTCTGAGTCCGTAAAACGTGCATTGATTGCGGTCACTCATGCCGCGTTGAGGACCATTATTGGTGCGTATTGTACGTCTCCGACAGCCAGCTTCCCTGTGGAAGCCAACGAACCTTCGCTGGCTACTCAGAGGAAGTTGTTGGGGATGCGGTAGGCTTGCAGGCCCGCACAATTCCCGAATCACCCAACACATGACGCTGTGTTCCCACGCACCACATCTGATGTTTTTCACCGCGAACAAACAACACGTGTGGCGTCGCTCTGTGTGCTTGTTCGTAATGTTGTTCGTGAGAGTGGCTGAAGTTTTCGGGGTGTGGCACGCCCACGTAGCCTGCCGACCGCTCCGTGGGTGATGGTATCGCGAACTGTCGACGTCTCACTGTCGGAGGTTCAGAAGCAAAATATGATTCCGGACGTTGCCAGATCAACAGCTTTGAAGCATATCGAAACATATCGGGGGTTCGCAATT